AAATTCTGCTTGATGTCCTTTATGGACAATCATGTAGTAAATTGTGTCCTCAAAAGAAATGTTTTAAAAATAGAAAAATAGAAAAGGTTTGAAAATAGTAAACATGAGCTCATAAATTTCATATTTCACATTTATTGGGAGTTCATTTTTATAATTAGTATTAGTTTTCTTTAGACACAAATTGCATAGCAAAATTAAATTACAATTACAAAATCTCTGCAAAAACAACAACTAATGTAAAATATTCATTGTAAGCGATTAAACGCTATCTTGGCATTGAAGAATATCAATAATTATTTTTTCATTAATAGTCATAAAATGTTACTATGACTATGGTTCATTCAAACATTTAAGTTTGCTTTTACATTTTAAATTCAAGCAAGTAGTTGACTCAGACAGTGATTTTTAAATTTTTAGTACGAGTTTGTTGTAATAAAAAAAACATTCTTGTTAATAAACGTGTTTAATTTACGTTTTAGTATATGTATTTAAAAGATGTTTTAATTAAAAGCAAGCAGTTAAGTAAAGAAATCTATTTTCCTCGTTAAATAAATTTCAAGTTTAAGTTTCATATAATCATAAAATATTTTTTGTATTAAACTTACATTTCAGAGGTGGTCTTTTAAAAAAGTTAGTTGAGAAAAGATGGTAGATAAGTAAAAATGATTTTAGTCAATGAGATCATGTAATTCAGTTGATATAAAATACGAAACAAAAAAATAAAATAAAAGATATACCATTAAATCCGTAATTGATCAAAATTTCAAAATTATCTGACTTAGGCAGTTTCTCAATATTTTTGTTGACAAAGCACATGTACTACTTAAAGTAGAGTTTGCTGTAAGTTAATAAGTTATTTAACTTTTCAGCCAAAAAGGGAAAAACTTCTAAAGAAGTAGCATTTGCGGGTGTTAAAGCAAACTAGTTTGTTTCTTTTTTGTATAATATTCGCTGTTGTTGAAACGCATTGCAAAAAATTATTTGTAAATTTTGAAAAATTAATATTACAAGCAAGTTGCCAAGAAAATCCCTAAAATTGATTAAAAGAAGTTTTTTCCAATAATCATTTTCACAGTTATAATAATAATAATAATAATAATAATAATAATAATAATAATAATTCTTTTAAACACCCAATAATTACATAAAATATAGGTAAAAGTATTTAAAAAAAAAGCAACAACAAAAAGTTTAAGTATTTTCTTGCATTGTTCTTGGAATGTTTTCATTTCAGTTCATTTCATTTCAATTCAGAGTTCTAAATATTAATCTTTGTTCCTTTAAATTCCAATGTTGGAAACGATTGTTTTAAAATTGCTGCAACATTGCCTCCATTACTACCTGAGGGCGTGCAATTATAATTTTTTTTTACCCTCGATTATACATTGAAGCATGTTTATACCTATTGTCAATACCTCACCCACAAATAATCATTGATTGCTCATTAATGGCATCTGAGTCTGTATAATCGAGTAACATATGGGGTTGTTTAGAAGCCTGATAAATAGGTTTAATTTGTTGCAAAAAAGAATGGCTGACATTCAAAATAAGAATGCAGGTAGTTTCTACTTTGCATTGAAATATTAAAGAAAGATTTCAAGACAAATCGTCCAACTATCCTCTATTATACAGTATTGTATACAACTCTCTAGTATACATTATTGTAATATCAATGCTATTTAGAAAGTTATTGTTGCTTCCACACAGTTCTAATCTGTATAACAACGTTGGAACAGCTAAGGAATTAAATGAATTATGGTAGCAGGCTGGCAAAAGCGAAGTCCTTTTCTTATAAGAGCTCTTGCAACAGATAAAAATTGCGTTACATGCTCAGTTATATTTGTTTTTTGAAGTGTTGCTATCATATTTTTGTTCTTATTATCCCAAAAGAATGTTTTAGATTGCTTTGAGACTTGATAGGAGTACCGTTAATATAAATAATGTTAAAGACCAGATTTAGTAAAACTTTGTAAAACTCTATCCCATTTATTGAATTTCCAACTTTTGATTGCGAAACAATTTTCTCCAGAAGATTTTTAGTGTAGATATTGTAGAGATGAGGCGACAGTGATCTCGACTCACAATCACATCGACAGTGATCTCGACAGGATCTTGACTCACTCCTTGAGACAGCCTAAAATATTTTGATGTACATCCAATATATACAATATTAGAAGTACCTGTTTGATATAGTGATGAGATTGCATGAACTATAGATAATGGGATTTTTTTCTGCTAATAGAATTTCTCCAATAACAACTGTCATATTATTTATGCTATATTGGTGTAATTCTGTTAATTGTGTAATTGTATTAATAATTGTGGCAGTTGATAAACATTGTGTTATGCAATCGCGTAGTTGTACCAGTAACAGCATTTTTATTTCAAGTTTTGCATAGTTAATAAATTGCCTAAAGTTTGTGGAGCTGCTCAACCTGCCCTAGCGAGGTAAGTTGAGCTATAGTGTGTGGTAAGTTTTTTATGCTATTTTTCTATTAGTTTTTGAAAAAATAGTTTTCAATAATATTTAGAATTATCATTAAACTTTAATTTGTAAAACTTTATTCAGAGAATAGGATTTTTTCACCTTTAAATTGGGAATTTGAATTTTTTGAGCATTTGGGAATGCTGTGTTTGACATGACCCCACAGAGATAGTTTACACCCTAATATATATATATATAAATGTAAATTTTTCTGGTTGCTAAATCTGACTTTTTTTTTATTTCAAGATCAAAAGGCCGTTTGTCTAGTTTTATAAATTTTCTTTTAATCAAAAAGTCAAAAGTCTAATCACAAACATTAAATTTTTATTCAGGGTTTTTAAAGATGTGCCAAAACATAATTACAGTTATACATATCTTTGAAAGTTTTTTACAACACATGTAACAAAAGTAATTTTTTTGTTGGTCTTTGGCATATATATTTATGCTATGCGAATTAATTACAAAATTACCTGAAATTGCTGGTTTAGCTACAATAAATAAAATTTTCTTTTTACTAGATTTTAATCACATCGGTTTCTTTTATTATTTCTAAATAATCTTTTGAATTTTATATTCATAAAATGTTTATAAAAGCTTTACTGCTTTGTATATACATGTTAATATATTTAATTAGAATTTTTTTCATATTGTAAATAATATCAAATATTATCTTATAAATGTTTTGTATATATTATGAAATTAGTTAAATAACAATAATATATTTGTAGTGACAAACTGCAAATATGTTATTACTACTAACTACAAAGGTATGTTATAACCTCAAACTACAGTGTCATGTTATGGCGGTTGTTATAACAACTACAAACTAAAATGTTATGTTTTTAAATTAAATTAACCTTTTTTTTTAAGTATTAACCTTTTTTTAAAATTTAACATATTTAATAATTATTTGTTATTTTATTTAGAATTAATTTAAAAATTAATTCTGCTGAAATTCAGATTTATTTTTTACCTTATCAGTTTTATCTGAATTACATTTAATACACATTTACTTCTTCAGCATGTTCTGTATAAAAAAATTGTAAAGATGAACTTTAGTTTTTCTACTAATTTTTAACAATTTTGTTTATTTAGACTTCCGAAATTTTTTGCTGTTCCTGATCTTGGACCAAAAATGTACAATGCTTATGGTAATGTGTTTTTTTTTGTTTGTTTTTTTAATAGTTGCGACCAACATTGCTTGGTTTTAATGGTTTTTATTTGTCTATTTTTTATGTATTTTAAAGTTTGGAAATAAGCAGAATTTTTTTTTAGCTTTTTAATCAAGTTTTTATTCCTATATTGATCTTGATAAATTCCCTGTAAATAACTTATATTGTGTGCATTTGTTTGCGTAAGATTATAATGATACTCAGTAAGTTACAAGTTGAGATATCAAATAGTAATTGTAAGTGAAAGTACCAAATAAAGAGCTAAAGTCCCTCATTGGGACTTTAGCTCTTTATTGGAATCTCTATTAACCTCATTGTATAGTTAAAATTTTTGACCATTTAGGTTCTGCTTCACATGCAAGTGCAGGTACTACTAACTTGCATCTTGACATATCAGATGCTACAAATGTGATTGTGAGTTCTTTTTTTAAATTATTAGAATTCTTTGTAGTGTTAACTACATTGTAGTCATCACTACAAAGTAACTTGGTGTTATTTTATAACATAAAACATGTTTGATGATGATGATCATGATGATGATCATGATGATTATGATTATGATCATCATCATCATCATCATAATAATAATGGTGATGATGATCATGATCATGATGATCATGATTATGATAAAATACTTAAATTTGATATTTTAAGGTTTATGTGGGGATACCAAAAGAAGAAGAATATCGCCAATCAGAAATTAATGGTAATTTTGTGTAAATAACCTTTCTGCTTTAATTTAAATCAGAATAGAAAACTTAATATATAAATAATTTTATACTGTAATGTGTGTATATATATATATATATATATATATATATATATATATATATATATATATATATATATATATATATATATATATATATATATATATATATATATATATATATATATATATATATATATATATAAACAAGTATTTATATAGGTGTGTGTTTTTATGTACACACACAAAATATAAGATTTTATGGTTTTATGTATCATTGATTTTATGTGTTTTTAATTTATTATAATAGTATTAAGTGTTTTAACGGTTTGATTGAAATTCATTATTAAGTTTTTTTTAGATGCGTTCAAAATAATAGATTCTGCTTGCTGTGAGGCTACCCGGATTAGAATCCGTGATCAGAATGTTAAACCGGTTTGTTCATAAACTTGCTTTAATAGTTATTAAGTTTTTTGACTTTATTTTCCATGAGTTTTTTAGTGCAAAAACCAGGAAATATATATATTTATTTCGCTTTATTTTTAGGGTGCTCTTTGGCACATTTTCCCTGCAAAATCTGCTGAAAAAATAAGAATATTTTTAAGAAGGGTGAGTTTTTTTATACTGTGTTGGTGCAAAATGTGTAAATTTTTTTAAGTTTCATAAAACTAGTGCATCAATGCATACATAAATTGACTAATATAGCCATAGTCGCAGTGGAGCGCACATACTTCGACTGACATAAATAGAGATAGGTGCAGGGGAATGTACATACATCAACTAAGGGTTTAGGTTTGGACAGACATTCCTTAAAATAAAATACAAGTATTTCAATATATATGTAAACAAGGGTTATATATTATTTTAATTTATATAAAAAAAAATTATTAAATTAAACTAGATTTTTAGTTGAAAAACTAAATCAAACTAATTTAACAACTTTATTTTTAAACTAGTTTTTAATCCCATTTATGTTTTTTTTTTAACGTTTAATGAAAGTTTATTTGCTACAATTTTTTTTTCTTTTTTTTTCTGTTGAGTCCTTTTATTTTTTATACAGAATAATAACACACAAAAAATGAAAAGAAAATTTATTTTGATGATATATTGATGTTATTAATATATTACAATAGTTATAACAAAAAAATAAGTCTAATCAAAATATATTTCAATCTGTTTTTAGCTAATCCTATTAAGATATTTTTATTAAGTTGATAATCTTGAACATACATATAACTATATGCTATTAAGGTTTGTTTATGCTAAGACTGAACATACATTCAAATATATGCTATAAAGGTTTATTTTTATAGATCATACATATGATGAAAAATACATGTTTTACAATGAAAATATATATTTAAAAATAAGTTAGATAAACTTGCTTAGTGCCAAAAATTAAATCTATTATGATAAAATGAAAAATGGAATAACTATGAATTCAAAATACAAAACATTTATATATATATATATATATATAAATGTTTTGTAAATAAATATAAAAGCAAGTGAAAGAAAAAATATAAGAAATTAAGAAATAAAGTATAAAAAATTATATTTTATTTTTTTACTTTTTGTTTCTCAAAAAGTTGAAAAAAAGTTAATAGCATTAAAAACTTTAATGCTATTAACTTTTTTTCAACTTTTTGAGAAACAAAAAGTAAAAAAATAAAATATAACAACCCTTATTGAAAACAACCTTGGAAAAGAAATCTATGTTTTGTTACTAATAATAAAGTCAATAATGCATTTTTTTATATTATTATCTAATTGTTAAATTAATAGATTACACAAGTGCAGTTCATGTCATTTAGTGCTATTTTAAGTTTAAAGGAAACTTTGTGTTTTTCTGTTAGTGAGCATTAGTATTGACATTTATACTTATTCAAAGTTTATAATATGTTCAGTTCAAGTGAAATAAATTGTAAAAATACTTTAATATATTTATATTTTAAACTATAGATATCAGTTGAACGTGGTATTAAATTGAGTGCATACTCTGATCCAATACATGATCAGGTAAGAATTATGTCAAAAAAAATGAAATAAAATAAAGAAATTTAATATGAAATAAATTATTTTTTATATGTTAAAAAAACCCCAAACAATTTTTCAAATTTCTAGTAATTTTTTAATCTATACAATTTTTAATTTATAGGCATTTTACTTGGACAAGCCATTGCTAGATCGTTTAAAACAAGAAGAAGGTGTGGTAGGATTTGCCATCTGTCAGTGTTTAGGAGATGCTGTGTTTATTCCAGCTGGTGCTCCTCACCAGGTACTCAATCTACACAGCTGCATTAAAGTTGCAGAAGACTTTGTTGGACCAGAGGTAATAGATATAAAAGCTTTATTTGAATATTTTGAAATATTTTTTGTATTTGTATGTACTTTTCTTTATCTGCCTAATGCTGTGAATTGTTTGATTTTTTAAACTGATTTCTTTATTTGTTTTTACTTTTAAAATCAATTTTTACAGCATTACTGACTAATGCAGGCCTCCCAGAGTGTCCCAAAATCCCAAAATGTCCCAAATTTTTACAATTTTACTTTTTTGTCATAAAATGTCATAATTTATGGGGTTATGTCCTAAAATGTCCTAAAATTTTAAAAGATTTTTTTCAATAAATGTTTTTATACAATAATATACTTATAGTAATGTTGTTTTTTATAAAAAAAAACAACAACATTACTATAAGTATATTATTGTAAATTATTCATATTGTGTACATTAAAATGTGTGTATTTGAAAATAATTATTAATCTGTCAAAAAACAGTGTGTACTACCAAGTCATTATTATTCATATCTATTGAATGTGTAAATATTATTAATTGTCAACTTTATTGTTGTTTTTATATCAGTCTATAAAATAGAAAAAGTTTTAAAAAGTTTTTAGATTACTTTGTGAAATTATAGTTCAACTGTTTATTTATAAGATGTCTAAGAGAAAAACAAAATATGATAAATTGTGGGAGTCTGAGTTTAACTGGATCCAAGTTTGTTCTGGTGATCACTATTCTGCAAGTTGCAAATTGTGCCAGAAAACCTTTTCAATCAGTGGAAGTGGAGCTGGACAAGTAAGAAGCCATGCAATTAGCAAACTTCACACATCAAGGTTTAAAGAAAGAAAAGGACAATCAGAATGTAGTAAAAAAAAAAAAGATAAAATACTTGAATTAAAAGCTTCTAAGATTAGTTACACCATTGAGGAAGAGATTTTAAAAGCTGAAATCATTCATAGTTTAAAATGTGTTAAGTCTAACTATTCTTTTGCCTCAACCAATGGAGATAGTAAAATGTTTGAAGCAATGTTTCCATATTCAAAAATTGCTAAAGGATACAGACAAAGTGAAACTAAGTTTAAATACACCATTCAGTACGGCATCTTTCCATATTTAAAAACGTTGTTATTGGAGGATTTAAATGATACTGTTTTTACATTTAAATTTGACGAATCTACTAATCAACAAGTTAATAAACAGTATGATGGTTATGTACAATATTGGTCTAGAAAGCACAAGTGCATTAAAGTTGCATACTGTGGAACTGTCATGGTAGACCATTGTACTGCTGAAAAATTGTTAGAACATTTCCTCGAGCTTGTAGAAAAAGTTAAGCTTAACATAACGTTTATGCTCCATATTGGTATGGATGGTTCTAATGTAAATATTAAGTTTGAGAGACTTTTAAAGTCGTCAGAGAAAATGAAAAATTTGAATAAAAACATTATATCAATAGGCACATGCCCTCTTCATATAGTTCATAATGCATTTAGAGCAGGAGTTAATGTTTTAAATTTCAACACTGACTCATTTGCAATTGATGTTAACTTTTTCTTTAAACATTTTGCTGCAAGAAGATCTGACTATCGACAAATAGAAGATCTAACAGAAATTATTTCACACTTTATTCAAAGACATTCTTAAACAAGATGGGTGACACTCAGAAGAATATGTTCTCAGATTTTAGAACAACACAAGAATCTTTGTGAATATTTTATAAAATTTCTTCCAACAACTACATCTTTTAAATCAACTGTTAGAGATACTGAAAGATATAAGAGGATTACAGATATTTTGCAAAATGAAATATCGATGTCGTATATTTTTTTTATTTCTTTCATAGCAAATGACTTTGAAATATTTTTAAAAACATTTCAATCAATTAAACCAAGAATTCCCCTGATTTACTCTGAAATGTCAAAACTTTTTGTTGCATCAATGTCCAAGTTTATCAAAACTAAGCTTCTGTATGTTAATAATAATAGCAGCAATTCCATAATATCTGTTAATGAGCTGCTGATGATTGATGTGATTGACTTAAAAAATTGTAAACCACTAGTTAATTGATATTGGCACAAAAGCCAAATCTTATTTTTCAGAAGCTCTAGAAATCTCATGTGGCGAAAAGAAATTTCGGCAAAATTGTCTTGAGTCTTATCAAGCATTTACTAGTTATTTAAAATTAAAATTACCTTGGGAATCAACTATTTTAAAAAATGCAATCTTTTTTGATCCTTTAAAAAAGGGTAGTAACGAGTCTCTAGCAGCTGTCACAAATCTCACTCTAGAAGTATGCAAATCACTGGAAGTGATGCGGTAGTGGTGTAGTGGAACCATTCCCTTATGAAGCGCTCGCTTCATAAAGCAGTGGTTCCGAGTTCAATCCCCACCATGTCCCTGGTAGTACCGCGCTCAACTCGTTTCTCCGCGCAGCGGCCTTGCTCGTCAAGGTTCGTGTTTCGGAGTTATAGAGTTGAGAGAGGGTTATAACCACAAATAAGTAGCCTCCTCGTCTGTAGTGACCTTCTCGGCCTTGAGGAGGTGAATTAAAATTAAAAAAAAAAAAGTAGTCTTATGTAAAGTTTTTCCATCTTGTTCATCAAAGGAAGAGGTTGTATGAAGCGAATGGCGAATTTACCAAATGGAATTGCTTCCAGAGTGCTATTATAAATGTTCGGAAGAATTAGTTTCAATTGGGAGAAATCAAACTTCTTACTGGGAAAAAGCCTTTCAGCTTGCGGGTCTTCCTATAGTTTCAAAACTTTTATGTAGTTTTGATATTGATACACTAATCAATTCCTTTGAGACTAAAATTTTGAATGATAGTGGTTCACCTAATTTTCCCAATATTACATCTCTTTTCAAAGTTGTTTCTTCACTTTCGCATGGAAATAGTGACCCAGAGAATGGATTTTCAATTAACAAACACATTATTCAGTTACATGGTACTTCACTTGATCCAGAGACAAATGAGGCTTTGAGGTTTGTAAAAGATACTATATTAAGCTTTGGATCCATACTCGATATTCCAATAACAAAGTCATTTATACAATCAGTTAAATTTGCTCACTAAAGTTACAAAGCTGACCTGGAAGCTAAACGCAGGTTAAAAGAGAAAGAAGAGAAACATATAAAAACTAAGGAAACTGAGGAGGCAAAAAAACATGTGTTGAAAAATGAAAAAGAAGCTGTTCTTGCATCCATTCAACAGGTATGTTATACTAAACTTCATGAAAATTGTTTTGGTAATGTGATTTTTTTTTTTTTTTTTTTTTTTTTTTTTAACATCTTCACTTCCAACAAGGCTGCAAGCAACCACTATAAGAGTTGGAAGTTACTGGAAGAGAAAAGACTAAATCTGTAGAGCAAGATAACGATTGACTGATGACTTAAAAGATTGCAAATTATATGAATCAGGAAAGCAAGATGAAGGAAGCGAATTCCAAAGAACTGATGTTCGAGGAAAAAAACTAGAAGAATAAGAGTTTTTGAAGCACTTAGGAACAGTCACAGAAAAAGGATGAGACTTAATTGAATGGCGAGTAACACGAGAATGAATTTTAGTAGATGGCACAAGGGACGCTAGCTCTTTAGAGCAGTGCCCATTATAGTATTTGTAGATTCTATTGTATATTTAACTTTGTTTTGTATTTTAGATATAAGTTATTACTTGCAGGTTTTACATGTAAGAGTTGTTGTTGTAAAGTTAAATTTTTTTGTTTAAATTATATTTTGTTTATTATCTACTTTATATAAACGTAAATAATTTCCAAGGGTATCAAAGGGTAAATAATATATTAATAATAATTGAATTTAAAGGGTTAATTCCCAAACTTAAATTTAAATAATTAAATACAAAAACTCATTCCTAACTTTCGATTGTCCTAAAATGTCCTAAATTTAACACTAATTTGTTCTAAAAAGTCATAAAAAACTTGGAAAAATTGTCCCTAAATCATAAAATTTTACCCTGTTTTAGGAGTGGGAGGCCTGCTAATGCTGTGAAAATTAATTTTTTAAACTGATTTCTTTAAATGTTTTTACTTTTTTTTTAACATAAAAAAAAACATAATAATTAAACAATCAAACTCCATCTGAATTTTGATTAGCATTAGAAGATGTTGATTCAACTAAAATGGATTAAACATCGACAAAAAAAACGGCAATTGCGTGAGAGATGACTCAACAAAAGCTACTTTACTATCAACAAAGACAACATTTATATCAACAGCACTAATAATGTCAGTAATTTTGATATTATTAATGCTGTTATTGTTTTAATGGTTTTTAAAATATTCTAATGATAATCGATCTAACAAATACAATCCTAATAGAATACTTTCTATGTCTTCTTTTACTGTTTTTCCAAAGAAAAGATAATTGAAAATATCTGGTTATTTGCAAATGCCTTGAATCCAAATATATTCTTTAAATAATCAGTAGTAATAATTTGATTTCATATATACCTAATTTTCTTTTGTCAATCATTAGCAGATGAATGTCTTAGTTGCTGAAGTTTATTTAAAATAATTGCAATATTCATTGCAACTAGATCACAGACTTATGACCTTAATTTCAATCTTAACCAACTGTTTATAAGCTTGGTTCTATTAAAGAGGGTTCTTTCATTCTGAAATTTATGAGTATTGGTGACGTTTCTAAATTTTTTAAGTTTTTTTTTTAAGGATTTCTGGATAATGATTATTTGTTGTGGTGTTAAAAGCCATATACTATAGACTGCATCTTTTATCGACAGTAATGGCACCCCAAACCATGATTTTGGAGCAATATTTTACAGTTTGAAGTAGGGGTGTGGAATCGTAAAAAAAAAAACGACTCCGATTCCAGTTGTTGAAATATTTTGAGTACAAATCCGACTTCGACGATGGTTAATTGAATGTTTTGTACATGCACGTGCAATACCGAGAAGTTTTACTATAGAAGTCGGAGTTGCGATTTTGTTTAGCGACTCCGCAACATTGTCGCAAAATGTCGCAACTCCGCAACATTGACTCCGACTCCACAGCCCTGGTTTGAAGCACATATCAGGGTTTGTATTATAAAAGTTTTTTCCTGGAACACGCTTCTCAAATAGAATTATTGAAACAAGCGTCTTCTAATTGTCACCATGCCAAGGAGAAATAATTTTTAATGCAATTATTATCATTTAAAGTAGTGTCCTTCGATCATCCAATTTGAATTTGCTTTTAAAATCATTAATTTCAAGATATAATAATGTTTTATAATGCAACTATATTTTACATTTAAACGCGCTGCAATTAAATCCTTGTTCAGGTAGAGTAACAGTCTGAGCGCGTTTTTCTGTCACTAATTTGTTAGTTTTCCCAGGATTAAATTTTGAATTTTTTGCCTAAATAACAACTCGAACAAATTTAGTGGTTTAAAAGTTATGCATATGTATATATATATATATATATATATATATATATATATATATATATATATATATATATATATATATATATATATATATATATATATATATATATATATATATATATATATACAAGTTAAAGTTTCGAATTTGAATAACTATTTTTTAGCAAATTTAAAATCATTAATAACTTTTTTGAAGAATTTTTGAGCTTAAACTATATTTTTTTTCTAGCACATGTCTCATTGTATCCAGCTAACGCAAGAGTTTCGCCATCTTTCCGATTACCATACAAATCACGAAGATAAACTTCAGGTTTATAGACCAAAGTTACTTTATTTGACTATTTTTTCTAAACTAGTTTTTTTTTAAATAGTGTCGTAGGGTAAAATGTTGTTGATGATGTAAGCTGTTTTATATCTATTATCGTGTCTGTCCTTGCGGGTCAATATACGTAAACTTATAAAGTCCAAATTTTACCAGGTTGCATTTTACCCAACATCAAAATTTGATATAGTGTTAAAAATGCGTTATTAATATTAAAATAACTCAATATAACCAATGAATTTCGCAACCAATAAACTTAGCAACGTTTTTTTTTTTTTTTTTTAGATAAAGAATATTCTTTTTCACACCGTAAAAGATTGTTTGGGAGTTGTTAAGAAAAGTTACAATCTTTAAATCATCACCATCAAGTTCTTTATGTTTATTACAGCTATTTGAATATGTACACTGTTAATGTATTGCTTGTGTGAGTAGTTGCATTGCGTTTGTGAAAGAAGATTGCGAACTTTAAAGGTATAAACAATAAAATAACGAGTGAATCGCGATAGAGAAGATTGCACGATTTAACGATATAAACGACATTTAAGTGAGTGAATCGCGTATTCGCTTTAACGATATAAACTTTTCATCTTTTTTCTGAAGTACATTAATGAAAGCAATAGTCGTAGTTTTTATAAAAAGCGAAAAACTTTTTAAATTTTTTTTCAAATCACTAACATTAAATAGGTGTAATGTGCACATACACTAAGTCTAGTATATAGTATTATGTATTTACGTATAGCGAAATGTTAATAGAAAACTATTTGTGTATTGTAGTTATATCTTATATACTATATTATATATGTATGTATATACAATGATAATCAAAAATCATAGAAATCATAGAATTTTTAGACAAACGTAACTTTTTTGCTTTATTTTTTGTATATATATATATATATATATATATATATATATATATATATATATATATATATATATATATATATATATATATATATATATATATATATATATATATATATATATATATATATATAGAAAAAGAGAGAGTGTGTATTTAGTTTGCTTATTAAAGTGTAAACTGTAAAATATTTTCAACGTTGTAGGTTTTTGCAAAGGTTTAACGCAAAAACAAAACTAACCAAATCAAAAAATTTGGTTAAACAATTTTAAAGCTTATGAAATAAGTTATCAGTTCTACATTCTTATTGAAGTATCAGTTCTATATTCTTTTTGAAGTTTAATAGTGAGACAGTTTACAACAAAAATGGAAATGGGGGTGGATTTTCTGTACAAAAGTTTCATACTTGCCACTAGTGTTACTTGGTGTCCAAGGTTTGTTTTTTATTTTTTGTTAAATACCACCACATGGTGGTATCTAACAAAAAAATTGTGTGTTCCACAAAGCCAAAGTAGTTATTTGATGAGAATGTCTTATTCTTGTAAGATAAGTAAGTTTCAGAAATAAATCTGTTATTCCAAAAGTAGAAATGCCTGATTGCGTTAGCGATATAGTCCATCCGGAACCTTACAAGTAATCGCCATACGTTTTCCACGTTGCCATTTCTATGTGCAGACAATTAAACATCGCCATAAACCTTTCTATCCAATAAGTTCCTAGCAATTTCAAAAAAATAAATAAGTCTGGTAGGAGCATAGAGTAACGCATCTAAAGCTATTAATAAAATTTGTCCTGGATTGAGAAATTCCGTTGACTAAAGCATTACATTCATTCCTTGATCATTGAGACGCTAACTGACAAAATTTATGCCTAACATATTTATTTCTAACAAACTCATCGACATTAATAATTCTTCAAAAATTAGGATTGCAGACATTGAACCCAAGACTTAAAATACATTGACGTTATTTCAGGTTTAGCCTAGTATACCATAATGAAATGAACTATTAAAAACTATAAAAGCGATTTTTTCCTAAAAAAAAACAATCTAATGGAATATATTAAAGCCTTATGGAATTTAATATATTCTATTAGGTTCTAATTTGCTTGAAAATATTATGCGTCTAATAACAAAATTTTTGAATAATTACGAACATTTTTTTTTTTGGTAATTTTATAATGTTACTTTTATAATGATGGTGTACTTTAGTTTGATCATAAGTTTAAATTTTTTTTAAATAGCCATTAGCGCTTTCATAAGTTTGGCATATTCATGGCTTTAAAAATTATTATTGGTTAAATTTATTTCGAGTCAACTTAAAATAATTTTGCTTTCGTAAAGTGTACATAAGACTTTAATACTCAGTTGAAATATAAATTGAAATTTATTTAATTACAGTTTCAATGTCTTATATAGCAAAATATTCTTATCTTGATTCATTAAATGACTCTGAATCTGAAAATGAAACATTAGCTTGTATTGGTAAAAAAAAATTGGAAAAGAAATTAAACCCGGTTAGGCATATAACTGATGAAAACCATTTTAAAGCAAGTAAGGTATGAAGTTCTATATAATAATAATGATAAAAGTAATAATAATTTAAGTAATATATATATATATATATATATATATATATATATATTATATATATATATATGTTTATCATTAATTATTAATTTGGTGAACACAGGGAAAAAATATCCAATTGACTGCAAATTAGTATGCTGCAATTAGTTGAGGAAGCGGTTGGCAAGCTGTCGAAGATTTGGCAATTGAGGTTTTTCGGGGTAAAGTTTTATCAAGACATTCATTGACAGGAATTCGATGTAATTCTGCTAAAGGTAGCATAACTAAGCCAGCTTTGGACTCAAAGAAGGTTTAGAACATATTAGGTATTGATTTTATAATATTTTATTTGGCACTACTATTTTCCCTTGTTTTGTATAATGAGTACAGTAAATAACTTTTAGTTTGTTCATTTTTTTAATTTTTTTTTCAGACTTATTGATTTAGATTTTAGCTAAGTGATTTCCAAGGGAAAATTATTCTATGTTTAGAAAAGCAATTACTGCAAAGTGCAATAATGAAAGCAAACTTGCAAAACGAAGCACCGATGTTTTTAAGAAAACTGTTGTGGATAGAGAACATTATGTTAACAACAATAATAATTGATATATTTAATAACAATAACTGCTTACTGACTTCAATATTCTCACGTTCTTTCTCTTTTTTTTTTTTTTTTTTTTTTTTTTTTTTTGTGAATTTAATTTCTTGGTTTTAATTAAATTAAGAACCAAAAGATAATGTGTGTAAGAATACCCCTAGAGGACTTTTCTATTAAATATCCTTTGACAACTGCAAATGGCAATCCGATAAGTTTTCAAACAGGATTTAATAGGATTCCTGTACATATGAAACTATAAGATATTAATACCTTAATAGCGTATAGCTCTATGTTACTAGCAGGTGATTTCGACTTTCCGGATATCAAATAGTACAATGTACTATTTGATATCCGGAATTTTTTTTTATTTACTTTATCAATTGCTGCCAGTTACAAAATTTATATAGTCATCTTTATTAAAGTCATTTTTTTTTTTTGAGAAAGTAGTCTCATAGAAAGAACGACATAGTCACCAAACAGAACCTTATCTTTTGCTTCCCCATTTACCTATAGGTTTGTTACGTTCTTAAATAATGTTTTTTAGGCAAGGAACTTTTATCTCTCCAGGATTTTATTTTGTGTTGTAGTATTTTTGTTGGATTTAAAAACAAATAGCTTTATTCTTATAGAGACTTAAAATACATTTTTGTATATCCGGCAAAAATACTTTCAATTCTTATCTAGACATTTATTAATTCAATTGTAATATAAAAATTTATTATTAGTTGTTCAAAAAGCACAACATAAAAAAATAACAACAAACTAATAAACTACCCTAAATATTTTTAATAAACAATAAACTATCCTAAATATTGTATACAAACTTTTTAAACTTCCAATTTTTATTTGCAATGCTCCAGTTGCTTATGACATTTTGAAACAATATCTTATTGTTTCAATTTTAACAAAAATTGGATGATTTTTGTTAAACGTGGAATGTGATTGGTTGACTTAAATTATACGCGGTGTTTAATAGAAAATTATGCTACTACCCGGCGCGTACTGGGTTAATTTTCCCTACCGGGAAACTGGATTTAATTAGAGCCCACTTACAGTATACTTACTAATAGCAATGGGTTCCATGTACACCTACAATAATAGCCAGGTTATCTACCCATTTCTTACACTAAGAATAAACTATAAAATTAACCTAAATAATAAACTAAATCTACATTTTAATATTAAAGTCTATAAAAATAAATAAATACACAACAATATTAAGATAATTATTTTTATTTAAGTGATCTTGTTCTTAATATATACCAGCAAAATGTTTTTAATGTTCTTTAATTTATGTACAAATGTAAGATAAATCTAACCCCTATATCTTTTCAAAATTTATATGCAATAAAACAAAAAAACAAATATGACTTAAGAAATGACAATCTTATTCATTAACATTATTCTCATACAAGTTTTGGAAGATCTCTTTTAACATATCGCGGAGCTCTTCTGTGGAACAAAATAGTTTTGAAAAAATTTGATTTTTCCCAAAGTTGGAGTTTTCTTACTTTTAAAATTAAGTTCAAAAAAGTTATCTTGTCAATTGATAATATCTTTGAGTTCTTTGAGTTTATACCTTTTAAAAAAGTGTGTGGTTCCTGAATATATTATTTTATTTTGAAATATTTAGTTTTATATATATTCTTTATGTTGTTAAACTTTATTTTATGTTTTGAAATATCTGCTTAAATTTAAATTTTATTTTTAAACGTCATTTCTTGTAATTATTTAACTGGTTTTATTTTTACTGTATTGTTAAACGGTTCTCAGTGACAGGATCTTACGATCCTCTTTGAGTCTCCGTGTTTTGATATTTAATGTACAACGATATTTATACCATAGTATATTGTAATGAGAACAAAAAAAAAATATTGATATATCGATAGCATATTTATTAATATCGATATATCGATAGCATATTATTCAAAGTTTTTTTAGTTGTTTAAAATTAATTTATTAAAAATAGTTTCAGGAAATGTACAAATAGTTAAAATAGTTCAATAAATTGTTTAAAAACTAAAATTTCAAATTTCAAACTAAACTTTCAACATTCTTAACATTTCAGTACTTTTTTCACACATTAAGTCGATGGCTTGATTCGATGTAATGTCTGCCAACAATTCCCTTTCACAATTCATCAAAAACAATGATTACAAATTATCCTGTGTTAAACAACCTCGTTATGCATAATAAGAATGAGTAACATTTTTTTTTCTTGTACACTTATAATTATTATTTTCCTGAGAGTATTCAAAATTATCAAAGTCTGAATTTTCTTGCATATTGCTTTGGTTTTTGTACACATCACATACATCTCTAATATCAGTTTTGAATATTTGAGGCCAGAATTTCACAAACGATAATAATTGTCTCCTTATTTATGTTTATCGATATGAGGTAAAAGTTCACAAATTTTATGAATAGCTTCAGAATGTATCCCATTTTTCGCAATTTGTTTAAACCTTTTTGAGTCAAATAGTTCAAGATCACAATAAAGTTCTTTACTGCCCGAAAATCTACATTCTAAACAAGCAACAATATTATCCGTAACTATGTTAAATGTTTTGATTCTATAAACATTTTTGGGAGTCTATTTCCAATGTTTTGATTAGTACTTGAATTTTCTCTATAACGTTTTGGAATAGTTTTTCTTTTCAGGAAGCTCTAATTCTATATCAATGTCTGACTCATTTTTCCAAATTACACCGGGTACAAACTTAATGATTATTTTTGTTCCTGCACTAACTGGTAAAATTCTCTTTGATTTTCTTTTAAAGATTTTATTGTTCCATCAATATTTCTCCATGAAATTTTGAGCACTTCCTAAAGATTTGCTTGAACTCCTTTATATTGACCATTTATATTGGCAGCACCATCAAATCATCTACTACACAATTATCTAAGTCAATGTTCATAGAATTTAAAGCTAACTTTAATAAATCAAATAAATCCTGCCCTGAAGATAAAATCACGTTGTTTAAAGCTACAACCCGTTCCACAATTTCAACTATAGACCTGGTGCCTTCAGTTCTGTCACTAACGTACCGCAAAACAAATACACATTGATCATGGGTAGATATATCTACAGTTGTATCCATAGTAATTAAGTAAATACCAGCTGAATTTACTTCTTCAGATATTTTTAATAATAATAATTTACAAATAAATTGAATAATGTTTGTTGCAGTTGTAAGACTTAAAAAAGTAAACAAATTTCTCCTCCTTTTTTTCCACTTTTTGCTTGTTTTTCACTTTCTATTATTTTAGTAATGTGATCATTTAAATTATTAGACTTTGCTATTGACAAAACGATTTCTAAAAGGTTTTTAACAGCTGTATTACTTAAATTATAAGGTGCCTCATACCTAAATCCTCTGAACGGCAATGTTTTCCGATTACTTCTACTACTTCAATTATAGATTCTTTTTTTCTCTTGATTACTTCATGTTCTCTTTGTCTCCCCTGGATTCTGTTAAACAATTCGTCAACACTTTGTCCCCGACTACCACTCATATAACATTTTGATGCTTCACTGTGGTTTTTTGACTCTTCTTGATCTTTTATGCGCTCATACCCATGGACCCAGTCTTCAAAACCCTCAACACTTGTAAAAACCGACTTTTTAGAAGAATAAATTAAACACACAGAACAAAAAAGAGAATTTCGTTCGTAACTAAAACTTAACTAATTTCTTTTAATTTTTTTCTGCGACCCTTGAATTGCTATTTTCAGGATGGTGTGGATAAAATGAAAAAAAAATTTCATTTTATCCACACCATCCTGAACATTTTATTTTCCACTAGGCTTTATAAAATAGTTCAAATTAAATTTGTTTATCAGTTGAAATAGATGTAGAAGGTGAAAAAAAAACAAACAATGTATTGAATCAATATTGGATGTTACATGAACTTGTGATTTTATAGGCAAATTGTGTACAACTTTTTCAGAAATACATTTAATTTCATTTGACGCTGTTCAGTGAAATTCTGAATTAAAATAGTTTAGGGAAAATTTTTTTTCAGTTTTTTGGATTTTCTATCGATTATTCTGTTCCATTAAAAACTATAAAATTTATAAACGTAAACGCACCAACGTTTGATAATTTTGACTTCACACACAGTGACACCATCATTTGGCTTTCTAAATTCTTCTACACAATCCTTTGGACAATCTTGAAGTGCATTTGGATGTACCTAGTGCAATCATATTCTCATTACTTTCGATTATTTATTAATTAATTAACAATTAAGATTAGTTAAATTGTAAAATACATTTGAATAACAAGATTCAGTGATCCTATAGATGCGAGTAAGATGCGAGTAAGATTTGTTTATCAAGAATATTATGATATTATTGTTTTCGCTTAAGTCATGTGGTTCAGAAGAATTAGTATTTTAATTGAAGCCATAAAGACCATAACTAAAGAAAATTTTAAAATTTGTATTTATTTATTTTTATTTTTTTCTAAAATCTAAATTAAGTTAAAAGTTCTTCAACAGCGGTTCTCGGTGACAAGACCTGTATGGTCTTCTTTGAGTATCCGCGTTCTTTATCTTTCTTTATTTTTTAACGATTTCTTTGCATGTCATTTTTCTTATCGATATATTTGTAAATATTGTATTAAATATTGTAATAAAGAACAAAAAAAAAAAAAAATTATAATTTAAAAAAATGTAAAAAATTATTTAACGTTTAGTAAAAAAAAAATCAATAATAGAATACGATTGTAAAACAATATTCTGGTTCACTGGTAATAGTAATATATTAATATGATATTTCGATTTGATCAAATGAAGTAAAATGGAAATTGTAGTTATTTCTGAGTATTCATATGGATTAGTTAAATTTAAAATGGTAATATTATACTTAGTCCTCCTTGATTTTATATGAAAATTAAGTTCGATATGGGTTTATTTATAAGTAAATAATATCAGTCACACGCACTAAATTACGACTTAAAAAATATTAAACTCAATTGAATTAACGCGAAATTTTGTTTTAAATTACGACAAAGTAAAAAACGCGAAAAGCCATAACTTAACATAAGCAATAATTTAACATAATTATAATTTAACAAGAATGCCTTGCTATCGAAAATCTAGACCAATCAGTTATACAAAAAAATGTCATGTGATGCGCACGGTTCTTATTACTAATTGATCTGGTTTTCACAATAATCTTGAATTCGACAACGAGCATCTTATTATATTATTAATTACTACAATCAATGCTGAATAAATAGATAAAGTTTTTTAATAATTTATTATTTATGTATTATTATTGAACAAAACAAAAAAAATCGAAACACGACATGGACTAGTAAGTACTACGTAGTAATAATTATTGAAGTTTTAATAGTTACTCTCTCATTATTCCAACAGTAAGCCACTTTTACATTGAATTTTCTGTGTAATAATTTCAAAGTCTTCTCTTAATATTATTTTTTTTATTATATATAAGTAAATAACATTAATTATGTTCACCACACTAAACCTAAAATAATTTTAAAATTATAAACTATTTTCAAGTTATTATTTTAATAGTTTGTATTACTAAAAAAATGTAATATTTTAGAAAATTAAAAAAAAATATGAGATTATGAAATGAAATTGCTGAATTTAATTAAAACTAGAGGTACCTATTTAGTAGGAGGCCCAGTTCTTATAATTTTTAAGAGGGCCTACCGGGATTTTCCCAGTATCTAGGTGAGTCAGCACGCGCCTGGTTACTACTAAGACTGTTCCTTGAGAAATAAGACTGTTCCTTGAGAAATGACGTATTTTAACTTCGTTCTCCTTCCAGTCTATTATACCTCCTTTTACAAACACCGTAGAATCGCCTCTCGTTCAGCATGATTTTGTAACGCGACTATTACTTAAGAACCTACGAGTGTTAAGAAGAATCAAGTCTACTTTAGATATACTATAAAGAGAATCACCTAAAGTACACGCTTTAGTAAAACAAAAGAGTATTTATACAAACCTCTAAAGCTATTTATTGTAACTTTAATCAGTTCTGCAAACACACAAGTTACATAGTACCTAGTTATTATAAAATTTATTCTAAATATTCTCTAAAAACTTATTTTTACCTGATCACCGTAATTTTTACCTGATCACCGTAATTTTTACCTGATCACCGTAATTTTTCTAAAACACTGTTGTGAATATCAATCACGCACTGTTTCTGAAAGTTTATCTAACGTAAAAATTTTTTTCACTTTTACTACTTTAGAAAATAATTTTAAAAACAAAGATAAAACTGTATTTGATATGGTCGTTTTAAAATATGATATGTTTCTAGTGCATTTTTATAACTTTTAAAAAACGAAATATTAATAATTTCTAATAAATTGTTTAATTATTTTTGAATTATTTTTCATATTTTAAAGTGGTTTACAGACCTCTAAGCGTCAAATAATCCCTACACGTAAAAAATAATAAATCGAGTATACAAAAAATGTTTGTTTTTTTAAATAAATAGTTCTTTTACAGAAAAAGAACAATTTTTTTGACAACATTTGGTTAACCAGAAAAAATAACTTTAAACTCTGCGTGACTTTTTTCAGTAAGAAAAAATTTTGCACCATCAACGTCGCCCCAGTTTCCTCCTCTTGTAGCAGGTTTCGCACCATTTAACCCGTTATACAAGTTGTAAAAGCTTTCCTTTTCATTCGAAACTCGTGCATTAGCCCAAGATTGATACAAGTTCCAATCATATGGAATGGATGCCATTAAATTAAGTATCTTGTCTCCATAACGATAATGAACTACACCACTTGCTCCAGTTGCAGCTCCTCTAGATTTTTCCCACACAAAAATTCCTGTGCTTCCAGGGGGAATATCGGCAAAAACTGTACCCATACTTCCCGATTCCGTAGTTGTTCCGTAAGCATAAAGTGTTTTATCGGATCTGTTTTCTACAGCGCATTTCCAATACCTCACTACATCTCCTTTCCAAATATTATCAATTTGCTGTAACGCAGCTTCTACGCCGACTTTTGCTAATACTCCTAAAATTGCTATTCCAGCGCCTCCTCCAGCGTCTGCTTTGCTAGTTTCTTTAATAGGTGTTCCGCAAGCAATTTCTAAAGATGCCGATACAAGAAAACATCCAAAACATAAGTACGAGAGCATAGTTGCATTAATTTTTCTGAAACAAATCTAAATTGATAAAATTGTTAAAATATTTATTAAAAAAAAAAAAAAATTATTTTTATGTATCTATACATGATTGAAAAGAGAAAACAGTGGCATAACTAAGAGAGAACATATCCCTGCAAGGGGGGGGACCAAGATATAATAAAATGTTGAGGAGATTTTCAGGGCTTTTTTTTTAACAATACACAGGTTGTTTTTTTTAGAAGGGTCCCCCATAAATTCTTTTAAGAAAAAGGAGCATAATTTGCAGTTACTCCACTGAAGTTAAATTGGAATACTAAATAATAAATATTATTATAATTATTTGAATGAAGGATAATTCTCGATTAAAAATTTTTTCCTAAAGAAAAAAAGTGTTACTACTCCTTTTTTATGCATTTAGATTTATAAATATTAATTTATAAATTTATAAATTATAAAATTTATTATACATATATATTTTTTTAAATTGAGTATAATTCTAAAATAAAAATTTAAGAAATTCTATAGAAATTAGGGCACTAGATTGGGAAAATAATACTCTTAAATAAAGAAATTTTTTAGCACTAACCCGTTTTGTTGGTTTCTTGTATATAATAAAACGTGTAAACCATGTCTTCCATGTTTTTTTAACTTTTAATTATCCTACAAATGTTTGGATAAATGAAAACAAAAAGCGCTTACCGTTATCACTGTCGTTTGCCAATTTATTGTAACAACTTTTGTAACAAATTATAAATCAGTCAGTATGGAGGTAAGTTTATTCAGTTATTATCTGAACAAATAATCTGGTTCAAGTCTTATTATACATGCCTACATAATATTTATTCAAATGAAGCATTGTTTTTTCTATGATATTCTTAAATAGTTTAAAAGTATTGGTTTAACTTATTTTTATTTAATTAAATTTTTTTTTTTTTAAACAAGATTTTAATTATGAATTTTTATCCTTTTTCAGCAGTTTGAAAATACTTAAATATAAAATCTTTCATATGTGGTTTGATTGATTTTTTTTTAAAACTCTGCGCGGTCAATAACTGTAATTATCACTAATACAGGGATGGCTCTTCATAAAAGTTTTTTGCATTTAGACTCGCCCTTAGTTACGGAAATTTGTTTGCTACCAGTCTCGATAGTAGCCATTGAAAGCTTTTTTCACCTAGTAACTTTTAGCATCACTTTTGATTGACTTGTTTTGACACACGAGACCATCCATAAAGGACGTCATGCTAATAGAGAAGAGGGGAGGGATCATGATAAAAAAGACAAAATAAGACAAATGAGAGGGGGTGGAATCATCAGAAAAGGGCGTTGTGTTAAGGAATTTTATTTATTTTAGTTTTAATAACACGGAAAACTATGTAAATATGTGTTTTTATAAGGTTAACGTTAATATTTTTATTTATCATAATTAAAGAAAAAAATTCGTTGATAATTGTCTTAGTTTTTATTATATATATATATATATATATATATATATATATATATATATATATATATATATATATATATATATATATATATATATATATATATATATATATATATATATATATATATATATATATATATATATATAGAGCTGGCCTCGAACTTCGGACCTCTGGGAACTGAGCCAGAACTCTAACCACCGCGCCACGGCTGCTCATATATATATATATATATATATATATATATATATATATATATATATATATATATATATATATATATATATATATATATATTGAATATGTTGCAATTAATTGTATTCTGTTAAACTATTGGTATACCAATAGTCACTAACATATGAGAAACTACCAGTAGTTTCTCATGTGTTAAATATCAAAAGTTGAGCGCTACGGCTTTTTTTTTAATTAATGTGTCAGTTCTCTGTACAAAATTCGTCATCAAGGACATAGTTTTGCTATCACTAAAGATTTTTTAAATAAAGTATTACAAATATTCGTCCGAAGAAAATTGCTTGTATAGCAATTGTTAATGATTGTCTATATAAGCGAATATTACAAATGATCCAAAGGGATTTAGTTGCGTAGCAATCCTTACAGAGTATATTTTTATGTTATTTTTAAAGTGTGGCAGCAGTGTCATGCATCAGTAGTGAGTTTAAGCATACACGCATTATTTCCAGGCGGTGTTAGTACAAACGCTAGGAAGCTTGCTACTTCTGCAAATTTAAAAAACGTTAAGAATGACAAAGATTCAACATGCACGTTGTAAGTCATTACTAATTCATGAATATTCAGAGCATCATTCCTCGATCATTGAAATCACTAAAACAATCAAGTTTATCTCAGAGAATTTGCAACCATTGTAACTTGTATTTTGCCTCCCAAGTGTAATTGCGGTAGAAGAGAATGCAGCCTTTGCTAAATAGTTCGATGAGGACAAAATCAAAACGGAAGGCCTTAATATTCCAAATGATGCGATTATTTCAGACAAATCAAACTGCCCTATTCCAATTATATCAGTTGAGAATTATTTAAAAAATTCTTGGATGGATGAAGAGTGAGAGAAGTACGCATCACACACTTCCTATGACACACTTCCTATGACACACTTCCTATGACACACTTTGATTAAATTTAATATAAAGAATAAGAGTAATATAATATAACTTTTTTTTTCAGGGAGGCCTAAAAGAACAAACAGCTGAAACAAACGTGAAAATACCCAATAAGATACTGACCAGAGCAGCCGTGGCGCGGTGGTAACGCACTTGCCTCAGACACAAAGGATCCGTAGTTAAAACCCACCTCTGAGCAAGTTTTGCGACATCGGTCAGGAAGGTGGCGTGAAATTCCTATTAAATGCTCTTTTGTGATAAGAATGTAAGGACTTCTTAAGGCACCTAAAAAAAAATATTTAAACACAGAAAAATGTAATTCATGTGAAAAATTTCAATAAAAATGCTTAAATTTAGAACGGATTTTATTTTTAAAAAAAAGGGGAAGGAAGGGTTTCCCAATTTTATGACATCCTTTTGAATGAGGTATAGGAAAAAAGGAGAACCAGTGACAAAGGAAAAGGGGGTCAAAAATTGTCTTAAAAATTGTGACTCCTTTATGGACGACCCCTAAGAGTGTTGGAATTAAATAATGTAGACAGGGTTTTGTTTTGTAATGTATGGCACTATTAAGATCTTATTTGCAATAAATAAAAACTATGATCGCTATGCTACAGTATTGGTGGGTTATTGAAGCGAGCAAGAAATTGAGAACAGCTACAAATGCTTTTAAAAAGGTTGTAAACGGTTTAAAAAGCAGAGTTTTTAGTAAATTTAAAAAAAGTAATTAACTTTTTATTAAAATTTAAAAAGGTATGGAACGGTTAAAGAAGCAGAGTTTTTGGTAAATTAATTTACTAGCTCCACTGTAGATACCAATATCTACAGTTAATGAAAGCAGTCCTAATACAGTCCGCCAGATAAACTTTCTCGAGGGTACTTAAAAATATGCTTTAACCGTTTTCAATGTGACAAGTTGCTAAAAAACATTAAATCTCTAACAAAGAAGACTGCAGTAGAAGTTGCTAACAAAGAAGACTGCGGTAAAAGTTGCTAATAAAGAAGACTACGGTAGAGGTTGCTCATGAAAAGCTGCTCATCATTTTGCGGGGCCAAATTGCCACTCAATTGGATTAGGCAGATGCATTGTTGAGAGTACTGTTTATGCAAGGACCCAATGGCCAAGAAGGAATTACATGTATATACCATGTAATTCCTTCCATTTTTTAATGTCAAGATGTTTAAATGATGTTACTATCTGTTAACAATTAATTGATGGTCATGATTATTAATTGCTATTTAAGCATGCTTCACTTGCAATCATCTCATAGTAGGAGAGAATTAGCAAAAAATAGGGTCAAACCTGGAAAAAAATAGTATAAAGCTGAAATTTTGCAGAGAGAAAGTAGACAGCCTTTTTCGATTTCAAAATCCTTTAAATGTAAAACAATCGTATCACAAAAACAACTAATATATTTTAAAAAGATTATGTGCATATAATATATTGAAAAAAGAAAATATACTGTTTTATTACTGCAGTCTTGCTAGTGACAGCTACCACATGCAGACATAAATTTAATCCGTTTTTCCTGCAAAAACTCATATTAGTTACGCACATGACAAAGTTTTAAAATCACAGCGAATCACTTTTAACATATTGGGTGGTGCAACATCTTTGTCGGTTGGTATTGGAAGAAGACAACCATTATCTAATTTCCATCTCCATTCTTTTGGATCTAAGTTGGAAGATTCATCTATCATTTTTCATTCAAAATTAGTTAATAATTCCTTCACAAACTATGTTTATATTTCAAAAATATAACAAATAATTTAATAAATTATTTTCTCAATCTAAATCTAAACTTTCTCAAACTAAATGAATCACAAAAAATTAAAATTAAATGATCAGTTACCAACCGCATTTTCCTAAACAAAGATTCTGTATTTCCACCAAAATTTCAATGAAAGCCTTTACTGTAGATTCTCTGACTTCTTTTTTGGTTGCCCAGTAATCCAAAATAATTTCAGATACTGATTGTATACTATTCGATTTTTGAAGTAATTAAAAAAAAATAGGTTTTCCTTTTCCCAGTCACATCCTGACCATGCAGGATCAAATACCAGATGTTCTCTAAAATCCATTACTCATGATTAAAGATCTTTTATACTCCAGAGTTTTTTTTTTGCTTCTATGATAAAAAAACCCTCATTTAATTTAAATTTCCAATGATACATTCATACAAACTAAATTAGATTGACCAGAGAGTTCTCCGAAAAAAATATGATCACCATAATGTTTAAGTAATTTTTATTTTAAAGATTTTGTTGAGTAATACGGATAACCATTACTAAGTTCTTTCATCTTAATGTGCAAATCGGAAAGGGTATAAAGTTTGCAGTTCCTTTCTCTAACCATAGACAGAGCTTTTCAAAATTTTCAAATATAGTGAGATCTAATGGGCGTCCGCGTTGGTTATTACTTTTAGTTTTTTGCCTGAAATTGTTCATACACGAAATATTATAGATCGCTTCTTCCGCTACAAGATCATTTTAAGACATCAAACAAGAATGCATTTCCCCAATCTCTATTCAAAGAACATTCAATCATTTTGTTAATCAATGGTATGGTCTCAACTTTAGCAATCGGTGAATGATTGTGGTTTACTTTTTTAGTACAAAAAAAAACATTTTGATTTCCAATCAAATACCTCTTCAAATGAGGATCGTAGTACAGATAATGATTGATCATTAAGACAATCCACAAACTTTCTTCTACAGCTATGATAGACTAGTTTTGTTGTACTATTATACGTGTTCTGTCGCAACTGGTCTTTAAGATAACTAAATAGTGCAAAATAACTTACCTGGTATGTTTTCTTATCCCAAACCTTTTTAATTAACAAAAAATTTTATTTTTCAATTAAACAATCAAACATGTGTTTGATTGTATAAACAGTTAATTAGAAACGATCCAGATAAAATGCGGCCGTGGTTAAAGAGCTTGCTTTATAAGCAGGAGATCCAGATTCAAAACGAGCTTTGGACATATTTTCCCGTCACGGTAAAGAAGGAGGCATGATCTTCCTGGTTAAACGCACTTTGGCGGTGCTCTTTGACAAGACCGTAAGGTCTACTTGGAGCACCTAAAAAAAAAAAAAAATTATGTGCTAACTAAAAAAAATTATGTGCTAACTAAAGTTTTAACAAACTGCGCAAAAAATCTTCTTTGTAAGATTATTTATTTGAACAAACTTTAACCTGTATAGTTCATTCATACTCCTTTCTTCGCTTAATCGAATCAATGTTTTAAG